CCTTTCCAATCCTACCGATATCCCTGTTCAAAAAGCACTGAGTTTTGTGAAGCTACGTGTGCTCAGTCATAGCCAAACAGTCTCGAATGTGCAGAATGTCCATAGTTTACAGACCCCTTCATTCTGCCATGCACTTTTAATCGTCCTGAAAACAAATTCATGGGTGTGGTTTTGTTCACCATTAGTAAATGATTGTTATCTGTGTCCTTAAAATTCGTTGGGATGAAATACCGGAAGGTGAAGAAACAAAAATAATTGACTTTGCGCAATGAATTGAGGCCGACTGGTCTCATAAATTGATTTTCATGCACAAGCATAGGCGATAATAACTACTACTGTAATTTGTTGTGATTGCTGAGTTCTGCGCAACATAATATATTAACAGAAATTTTGAAAAATGGTCCTGCATAATACAAAATTTCATTGTTTTGATAGCAAAAGCTGAAATCCCAAGAGTGGTTTGAATATCATCATCAAACGAACGAACTTGTGCCAAAATGTATAACTCTCTTCCTGTGACATTTCGGGTCGTTTTTTGGAGGAGAGCCACCTCCGCATATCACTTCCGGTCGGTGTACCGATCAACCATTACCCACATCCGTATCAGGCGACTAGTCAGTTCACAGCTGTTTGGGTTTCAGCACTTAAACTTGCATGTCGAATGACCAGATCGGTGAACAGGACAGAACAAATGAATAGACTTTAAACATTGGCAGACCCTCTAATTATCAACAATCCAGCCAACTTATTTTACCCAGCGAGAAAGCAATTTACTGAGGGTATATATGGCGTGAAAGTGTGTAGAAGAGCAGACTTCATTTGACCTGCTATTTCGGTTGGCACTTACGTTTGGTCTACAAACCATGTCGTTAATTATATACGCACTACAAATTATAAGACGTGGGAACGGGTGTAGTGAACTTCAAGCCCCCTAATTCTATATATTTCGCATAGTACAGACATTTACACTTGAGCTGTTTGATAAATGTTTGTGAAAACATTTCCAAGAAGGTGACCAAAAATCATTCCATTCGTGGAGTGAATCACAAGAAAATGGAAAAAGATACAAAGCAATATATGAGCCTATAACGTCCCAGTGGCTTCCTGTTTCTATAATGGAAAATGACTGGTTTGTTTCCAAATGCTTCTGCTTGTTCGTGTCTGCTATGTTGATAGGACTCCTGTTCAACAAAAGAAGTACCTCACTATGGTTCTTATCCGCATTACTCCGTCAATGCTTTAGAAGCTAATTCATTAGGAAGAAGTTGGAGGTTATTTTATCCTTATGATAAACCACAAGAAATACCTTGCGAATTTCATTGGATTTCAAATTCAAACCATCTTTCACTGAAGCTAATCTTTCCCTTTGAACTACCGATGAACGATCGGCGTTGTTCACCAATCGTTTTTATACTAAAGAGCACTGACGTACTCTATGTGACGTACTCTACGTCTGACAGATAGCTAAGATAAACATGGTGGTTTGACGCCCAGTATTCGCAAAATGGAATAGCATTTTCGAAAGCTACGAAGTGTGGCTGATAAAACAAAACTGACAGAGAAATGAGTTCAGAGTACCAGCCCAACTTTTTAAGCCCCATCCAGGCATCCCGGGTTCTCAGTGATGTTGGGAAAGTATTCCACCAGACTTTTTCCACCAGATGTATGATTGCTTCAGTGACCAATCAAATCTGGCGAGCCGCGAAAATATGAACGTGAATTAAGATGTTTTCGGTTGAGCACATATGCAATAAAATACAGCATTACGGCGCCAAGGGTTTCATTCCCCTCCTAAGGGTTTTGCAGGTTAGAGCATTGTGCGGCTAATGGGCTTCTGGCAGTTTAACACGTGGTAGTAATATACGGTGCTGGGTATATTATCGCGATAGCTATCATCTTCCTCATACAGTGTCAAACATAAACAAAGATCCACCAGCCGAAAATCAATAGTTATCCGAGGAATGTCGGCAACATCAAACTAGTTCCTATGGTGTGTTAGCCTATAACCCAAGGCAAACGGAATGCTTTGAGAAGCTGGTGGAACTTTTCATAAAGGAAACTACTCACAAGGTTGCCGAAAACTCTTCGACAGCCCATGACCGGTTTCGCCCTTCTTGCAACTCATCAGGTAGGCGCAGTCCTCGGGTTTCCGTCAACCTTATGATCCAATTCGGGTTAAAGTAGATCATAAGGTTGACGGAAACTCGGGGACTGCGCCTACCTGATGAGTTGCAAGAAGGGCGAAACCGGTCATGGGCTGTCGAAGAGTTTTCAGCAACCTTGTGAGTAGTTTCCTTTATGAAAAGTTCCACCAGCTTCTCAAAGCATTCCGTTTGCCTTGGGTTATAGGCTAACACACCATAGGAACTAGTTTGATGTTGCCGACATTCCTCGGATAACTATTGATTTTCGGACGGCTTTATCGTAGGTCAATTAGATTTGTGTTACTGATTAAAAGGGTACCAATTAATCTTTCACGATTTCCGTTACCTTCCCGTAGTATTTCATCTAGCAGGCTAGTTTCTTTTTCTAGTCAGGGCAAGACTTTAATTGCTCAGGATGTGTATGCTAATTAGTGAATTAGTATGCGAATCAGTGAATAGTATATTACAGGTCTAAAAATACTGATTTAAGTCAAGTATAAGTTAAAAATGGGTGTTTTTTCACCCGTTTTCTGTCCAATATTCATACCTTCTGCCTTGTACAACCTATCTACAGTCCAATGCATACAATCCAATTTACAGCTACTGATACACCTTGGAATTTCTTGATTTCAGTTGTGACTTAAGACCAATCAACTTAGTGATTTCTTGGTAAGACAGCGATTGTGTCCTGTACCAAATGTTCCGGGTCGAAGCTCAACCAAAGAATTATGAGCTTTACGGTACTGTTACTGGCCTGTAACACTGGGCCGGTGTACTGAGTTCCTTAGTTTTCACGTATTCACTGAGCAATGGTTAGATGGCGTCCTCACCACAGAACCAAATTTCCCTACTATACAATAAACAACCATCCCAATTATCGCATTCTTACGAAAATACAGTAAAGCACAGAAGGGAAATCATCAGCTGAACAGGATCACAGTTGTCACAAACAACATGAATTACTAGAGAAACAGATGGAAACATTCTAGCCTACGAAGCAACCTCAAAGTTCCACTTCGTAGTACATAAAATCGAGCACCGTTTTCGCAACAGCCAAGTCATAACACACAAGGAAACTGCATTGGACTGTGGAAAATGACTGCGTAGCATGTGAGCACTGTTCATTCCGATTCGTAGAAGCGAAAATAAGAGTCATTTAAACTGGAGAGACGACTCAGTGAATTATATCTGAAGAGCGAGCTGGGTTATTCTTCTAGAAAATACACTGAAATCAACAATGCATGCAGCTTGTGTAAGACTTCCGTTTCCTAATTACATTGCTGCAAACAGCTTAGTGGTACTGCAATGCAATAGTTGATATTCTATGGGTTGTTTTTCGTCAATTCAGTCTATACACTTGAATCTGCACTGCCTGACTTTTGCCAAGCTGAACGTTGTTTTGATAATAACAACAAGGCTCCAGAATAACTAATGACGTTCCCCTTGTCCTGTACGGTGAGACAGTTCTCAGGCAAAGAAAAGTAAATACGACCACCGGCTTAGCTTTCATTCACTTTTCCACGAGCATCTCAATTAGCTTGAAGTTTGTAAGTATGCGCCGACAGTTTCACATCATACGAGCTGCCACATTTCAGTGCTTTTTAACAATGGGACCGATCAGATTTCTCACTCTGTACATGTACTAGGGTAAAGCTGAGGAGTTTCAAACCAGCTATGTTGAAACGTGGACAATGGATCAAGCAAACAGGCAGATGAAGCTTCAAAATTATTTACCCGAAACTACACAAGAATTTTGTGGGAATTTTCAAAACACTTCGCTGTGTTTTGACTTTGAATGTCTATATTATACAACGCAGGCGCTCAGTCTTTTTAACGCTGTCCGAAACAACCTAGTTCCAGAACTCCTGAGAAATGAATTTTTCTGCACTTTTACCCCTGAGTAAAAAGCGACCCGAAATGACGCAGTTTGCGGACAATGTCTTTGGGCTATGCATTTCAGACAGCCACACTATTGAACAATTTGTCCATTTTAATTATGAACGCCTTTCATAGCAACCTGAAATGCAGTTAGTTTAAATAATTGGAATTCGCTTTCCATCTTGAGATCCACGTACCATATGTGATATCATGAAGACCAAAAAACCCGAGGCTGATGCTTTTCTGGATTATTTCGACCCTGTTAATAGGAAATGTATCAGATTCTCAGAGTAGTTAGCTAAACCAATACCTGGACTAGCAAGACTCTCGGTGTCTGGTTAAAGGTAACTCGCATATAGTTTCTTAGTGATGCACCGTTGGTGGAACGATGCCATCCCAGATACGACAGAAAGCACAACTGTGTTGTTCGAAATAAAAACACCTCCCTGAAGATACGATGTAAAACCGTTTTTACCTATGTGTCACTTGAAGCGCCTGAGAGGTTCCCACTACCTAAGCGTAGGTAAACTGTAGTTTCGAATCAGTTGTCTAGTGGAAAGAATACCACGTGGCACGTCATCTTCGACGCTCAAAGAAATGGTTTAATGTGAAATGAGAATCACGTAGAAACATAGCGTATCGAAATTGGCTCCACGCTCTTTCGCGGTGAATACTAAATGATGTTCTTCAGTATACGAAGTTCGATACCATTACTAAGGTGTGCGATTAATAACAAAAACTCACATTGCCTACAGGGTTGATGAAAACTCTACGACTGCCCTTCTTGGGGCGAACAGCTCCCTCTTCAGGTTGATTCTCATGTATTCGGATTTTAACGTCCTACCAACGTTTAATTTTAAAGAGAGGCATGAACTAATTCGACCAGCTAGAATTTTATCGCGTATAGTCAACCACAGCTGCTTTTCGATCTTCCGTGTTGTTTTGATCCAAATGGCCACTCAATGAGAAAACACAAACTTTCCAGCTTTCAGTTCACACAGTTCGCCACGCACATGTTGACTAGTCAGTTTGAAAAGGCCGGTAAGTTGTTCCATCCGCGCAGTTGCGGTTCCCGCCTTCAAATAATTCTTTGCATCGATCTGTTTTTCACAACACTGGTATCCCGCTGGACACTTCCTAAAAAAACAAGGGAAACTTGTAACTTTCCTTCGAGTAGCAAACAGATGTCTTCGTCACAAAGGTCAAACATTGGCAAACGTCAAAAATAAAACCGTACACATTGAACCTAGCCTATCAATGTTTCGCTTTGATTGATGTTCGCTCGTGCAAACTAACGGCCGCATGATTATCTGAGAGAATAATCCCAAGACAAACTGGAGCGGTTTCACGTTGACCTTGAACTTCCATCACAACTTCCTGTCTAAGTACAACATGATATCAATCTGAACCCACCGACCTACGGGCTCGCTAGTAAGACTGAATAACAGAGGGTAAGGAAGGTGAACCACAAGCGAAGGAGTTTCCACTAGAGGGATGTTTATAGGCCATGGGTACTGGAATTAATGTCTCCGCTGCAGTGCTCTTGACGATCTCTATAATTATGACAAAAACGTCACGAGGTGGGGGCTCAAAACGGAGTCCTTAGGATTACAAACCTACCGAGCAAATGTGGACAAAACAGGGGAGACGTTTTGAAGCCATGGCTTTTCACGACTTCCCTTTGAATAGGAAAGTCCGAAAGCAGGCAAAATGAATATACTTTCTGGTTTTCAATCTTCATCAACCCACTTGCAAGGAAAGCTGCTAGTGTATGTCGGAGTTCAGATAACTCACTCACTAATGGCCCATCCTTAAGGGACTCGTGAGGAACGTAACAGAGCCATGAACGTCGCAGAAGCATTGGACCTGTGAACGAACATACGCAAGCAGATTCGGATTCCATGTTGTCAGTTGTGAGGCGCCTGTACGTGAACTGAGGTAAGATTGTGCTCATTTTCAGAAACGAAAATATACACTTACTGCAACCTCTCTTCTGTTTATCGCTAACAATTTAACAGTCCTCAGCACATATGAACAGATGAGATGTGATGCTATTCAGAAACAGAAACGGATGATACCAGTAACTAATCGTTCACTGCTAGTCTTCATTGCGACGCTGCCATACGCACGTTGTTCAGTAGTTCACAGCAGGCCTGTGCCGTCACTTTTTCCTCCTCTGGATTGCATCAGATTGATTCAACTTCACGCAAAATGTTCTGTCACTTCTACTCGTAAGTGACCAGCGGTCTAGTCACTGTTAACATGCAAATTCACACGGTCTACCTGGACTGTTACACTTTTATCAAGGTATTGTTCTCCAAACGTTACGTATCGTTATCTCCCGAAACTGGTACGAGGACGAACAAAGTGGAAGTCTGCTCCCTAATCTGCAGTAGATAACTCCAATTTTTAGCTGGAAAAATTCGCAAAGTCGCATTTTGAAAACCTAGTGTGCACAGATGACCTTTTTGACATCCGGCCCAGCGTTTCCGACTTAGATTTGACATAAAGTCGGTCAACAAAATGTCGGATTCGTTCAGCCGAAAATTCACTGTGAAATTGATTCAGAGCATGAGAAGAAAAAAACGACTTTGTTCAAGTGGATGGGACTATCTAAACGAATTGGTTTTAGAACACAATAGATGATGGTGATAGATTTGAGAAAGTGCCATAATGTAAGTACATTTGGAAACGGTTCACACACGGGATAATAAATAAGATTTGGTGGGTTAAAACGAAAATACAGCTGTTATCCAAATGAGTCTTTCAGCTTCTCTGTGAGATATATCACTGATTAGCTAAGATGAAGTCAAAGCCTTCATATGCCATTTAATGATGGCTTGATGGTTAGTGTAAGCAGACTGCGACTGATTTTGTTGCACCCAGGGAGCTTTTGTAAGTGATCCTTGGACGCGAGGCCATCAGTAAGTATCCCTGAACGATTCCTCTCGCTCGATTTGATGGTGCATATCAATCATATAGTCTTTCTAGCCCTGGCCAGGATTTTAGCTCTTGAGATAGACGACAAAACTCACGACTAAGTGCGTTTTAGGATACTCCCAAACAAGAGCTGAACTGTCTATTTGAGAGAAATAATTCGACCCCAAGCAGAAATCTCAGGTATGAGTACAAATATAACATCCCACATATTTCGTAGAACATAAATACACAATAAGTCCCTACCATTTTTCGTTCGACAAAAAGAGAAGCATGTGAATGATGCTGTGGGATTTGCGGTAATTATTTTCCAGGTTCAAACTGTATGCTTGATATTCGTCTGAAACAGATAACAATTACATGTTGTGATCACACCAAAACCTGGATAACCTAGGTCGAGCCACGTTCTGTTCTGTCAGTTAACTAGAAAGAGAACATGTAGTGAGTGGCTTTTTGTGTAAACCAAGGATGGTTTGTAAAAGAAGGCTGTTGTATGTGTTCTACCATTAGTTCGAGCAGCAAAGATTTTAACCTCTAGTCTTGCCCGAAAAGTTTCAAAATTCTGGTGCTACGTTTATACATCGGCCCGTGGTTGCCTGTGCATTTAGTTGGATGGAACTCTAGTCTGGCGGTGAGTCAGGTAACTGGTAATCTGTTCACCGAGCTAGTCAGTTAGATTGCCAAGGCTTTGTTCCCGGCCGACGAGACATCTTCTGTGCGCAAGTGAGTATGTCACTCCTCGTGGCCGAACGATTAAGTGTTCAAATCTACTAAACGGGAGGTTGCGGGTTCGAGACCCTGAATTTTCGTGAGATGTGCACTACAGATGAATCTCACCAAGTAACTGCAGGTGCGAATCTATGAAACCTTGTTAAAGACTGAATGAAACCCTGGATATTCCAAGTGGCGGAATAAAAGGCTTTGGTGAAACACTTGCATTTGCAGAGCACATTGCTAATAAATAAATCAAACTTTCGTATGCGATTTTCTTCGAAGAATTTTGAACATGGCGTGAAGAAAGCAAGTTACCTGGCTTTAAGTAGGTTAACACCGGTGTCACATATGCCAAAGACTAACAAACTGGTTTCGTTGCCAAGAGGAACCCACCACAACGACATATTCCGTTAACCGGTACGTTGACCAGGTGGCGTTCTTTTGATGCCACGAATTAACCGGAAACCTGAAGACTATCGTCCACTCTGTAACTACAGAAAAGGGTCACGACACAGAAAAGGTTGGAAATCACTACACGGGGTCAGGGTCAGTTGCCGATGTATTATCCAGTCAGTGTACGTTTATGAGTGCAAACAGTCGTAATTTGCAGAAGTTCTGTCACACATACAACAAGTTCGTCATTGTTCAGTACAACGAGTTCTGTCCTAAATGGATAATTTAAGTATCCAGGACGGTCAACAGTGAGCACTGTCTGTATTGGCTATTTTCAGTCATTCATTAGCGAAACAAATGAGTACATTCCGCAAATACTAACTCCTCTCTGGAAGTGTTCATTTCCCAAGCTAGCTTGTTTTCGGTTTGTCTCTTCTTTGAAGATGACTAGCTTTGATCGGCCTCACGTATCTATATTACTACATATCATCTTCATCCGCAAAATTTTTTAATTATTTTGGTAAGCACGTTTCATGAAAGTTTTCCCGGATACGTGACTTAATTAAACTAAAGATATCGTCATGGTTAAGATAGTTGAATCTGCTGTCAAGGTAACTGCTACTAGAACCTCCAGAGTAGAGCCAGTGGAAATGAATCAATTCAAGCCCCCTCCTTACACAGCTAATATCATCTGATGAACTCCACTACTGTGAATCCATGCACATTGGTTGGCAGCTTAATCAACCAGTGTTCAATGCCAGATGAGTCGTCGACAAAAGCAATGAGGTTTTCTCCACATGAAAGGTAAAAAATGAGTAATGAGCTATGCATGGTTCGACTTTCGAAAAGAGGTATACGCACAAGCTACCTTAGATGGAAAAGCGTATGTCACGCCTATTCTAATTCCGAATAACTCGGAAAAATCCCAAGAGTTCGCCTGCAAAGTGTTTGACAACTGCCACCCACCCATCTTTTGTTTCCATGTTTTTTATCACGTATAAAACTCCGATAGTGATAGGTACTTTTGCGGTATAGCTGATGGTGTACTTCCCACTAGGATATTTATTCCCCACCTATCAAGATTTATCCAGATCATCCTGGTGGCTTGGCTGGAAGGACACATTAAGCATAATCCCTCTGAGCCCTGCCAGGTGTCTTTTCATACTATTCTGATCAGCACCAGAAGGAAATTTGCAAAATGAAGCAACACCACCTGACCTCACTGCCTACCTAGTTGTTTAATATTTGGTTGTTATAATACAAGCATTTTGCCCAATTATGTCACACTTATGAGGTGTACTTGTTTCTTGGCGTTTTTAACTTTTCTGTCGTGTTAATTTATGATACTGTGTTCATTTGGTAAACCAAATGTAGTCAAATTTGAAAATGAGTTGTAAGTAATTTGGCCCCATATTCCAAACAGTAGAGGGAATGAACTAATGCATTCGTCTGGCGAATCTTTCTAGCCTTCATCTGTTCTTGACAACTCGGAGTGACGTCTTTTTTGGGAAAAATTCCATTTTGACGTCTGAAATGATGGCACTTGTTCGTAGGTGTACTTATGTAGGGGATGTTTTCGACGGCCTCACTGGCTCCAGCAAAATCAACGTTCACTCGATGGTGTTTTTGAGTCCGCCGTCCGAAATGGTCCAAATGCTAACAAAAAGAAATTAAATCTGTGCAATATTATTTAAAGATGCATAATTTTCGGATTACAACTTTTGTAACCCCACGATTGCCATTGAAATTCACGTTTTACTTTGGTTGATGCTTAACATATGTGCTCATAATCGTGACAGAGGGACTTGCAAAGTGAGGTAACTGAAGGTACCACCACAGAATGATGACAGAAATGAATGTAAAAGATATGAGCTGGGTGTCTTCTGAAACCTCATAAAATCTATGAGTAATTCAGAAATGATTGGCTATACTCAAGTTCGTAGTCGGGTTTTGCTGGATCCACTTCGAAAAGGGCATCGTTTATGATACCCCGGTGTGCTGTGACTGTCCTCTACTCATTTTCAGCATCAGTGGTTTCGGCTATTATTATCAACCCGTAGTATCACAGAACATCCGGCTATCGACAACTCTTCATTTCTTTTCAGTTGCCCATAGAATCAATGCAGTTGGCCTTCGTGTTACCAGTTCGCTTGATCCATCGGTGAGTAGGCTCATGCACCTGTTACACCACTTTACTTGTGTATGATTTGGCTGTGAAGTAGTTGACACTCTGAACTTGAAAACTGTGCTGCCCCGTTGCCGTCTGGTTGCATCCGCATGTCCGTCTTGCGACCGGACTTCTAACAGCTCAACTAAATTGACAAGCAAGACATATGGCAAAATGTGGAAGGTTGTTGAACTAGATCGTTTACGTTACATACGATTCTGATTGCCAGTGGGAGACGAGACTCAGACGGGCCAAATCTATTGGATGGTATAACTGGGAAGTGCATTTTCCGTTGGACTATGCACCATTTTGTCCGATTGGAAACAGAAATATAGCTATTGGCCAAGTGCAGCACGCTTGGTGAAGCCTGAACAATCAGTGATTAATTACAAGGATTATGGGAACTACCGAACCAGAATCATCCATCACTGCCGCGGGGCATTAGCCTCTTTCGATTTCGTTAGTTTCGCGATCATAACCTGATGATCGTCATTGACCTACATGACCAGTCGTTGGTTGAACCGAGTCGGTCACGTGTTAGTGCCCTAAGCAGTTATTTTTCACTGTCAACGCCGACCAAATGATTTCTCTTCGATCCAACTGACAAATTTTGTTGGCATTTGTGGGTTCGCGAGTGATATGACAATTTAATTGGTGGGTGAGGCCACGTAGATTTTTTGTTTACTTGGGCTATTTACTTCATATCTACACCATTTCTGTTGAGGATTCTTTTTCACTAATCACCACATACCACCAGATCGACTGACTAACAACCGCTCTGCACACGCTCGCTATTTCTATTTCTATTTCCATTTCTATTCTATTCAGATTAAGATAACTTGCGACAAGTCGGCGTGGCCGTGTCTATTGTCTGCCCCACCATTGTTGGTAGCCTGTTTAATTTTCTTACCGATTCTGCCGTGAATATCCTATCATCTTTTGTCTGCAGACATTTGTGCAGTCTTCGCATCTTAGTTTGGGAAGAAAGTCCCTGTTACTATATAATAGGAAAAGTTTCCTTCATTTCACTAATGTGAAGCCACTACTGTTAGCCGAGTTCATGACCCTTTGGACATCTCTGGTCTATATGGAATAACTGTAGTCCCAATTCATCCTCCATTGGGCTTCGTCACGCAAACAATTAACCATCTAAACAGATGCCCAACCGAACCTGCTAGAAATCCACGATCTCAAAGTCTGTTCTTTATTTAAGTTTAGACCGCTGCCGGATCGGCTTATTCTGTAAACTGGATCCATATTTGGTTAAACGGTGGCCAATATCGTCCTTGGACGGGCCGATAAATAGTCTAGAATCTCTTCAGTATTAGTCATACAAATCCATGCACTGACTATATTTTCGTGCAAAATTTTATTGTTAGGTAAAATGTTAAGTTGTGAGTGTACAATTTCAGATGCAAAGTGTTAACTGGTAAGTTAATTGCGACAGTTCACTTGTCACGTCCCATTGAATCTGCACAACGCCAAAACGTTTTTTGTGGGTACGGAGGTCCGGAGAATGTTTCTGTTCAATGGATTCTATAGAACTGTCTGCCAAATCCGGGGATAGTTGACGACCCATGGTGTCAAGCGCGAAGTGATCGGATTTAGGCATGCTTTTTTATCTTCCACTGTATTACGCGCCTTAGGGTGTATCCATTCTAGAAACGTGATGTGTATGAGGAGCCATCACTCGGTTTTTCTACAGAGAACCTTTTCGATGCATTTGCACACACGAGCGGACGCCGAAACATACAAACACATCACCTCGTTCTCTGGTGATTCCCGTGAATTTGCTGAAAAGGTTGTTTGAAGCTCCAGTATATGCACCCGATCTTCCATTAAGAATACTCTCTAAGAATCGTGTCGGCCCATGCAGTGGGCAAAATAATTAGTTTCATAAGAGCACTTGCGTTGCGGATTTTTGCATGCCCCTGAATCCGTGGTTGGGATGTACTTTTAGGGTACATTCATGCCCTAAATTACTATTACGGATCACTACCAACTCGAACTTTGTTCTTATTCGTTATATATTAATTCGTTAATATTTGCCAGTAAGTGCCTTCATCTGACTACTGTCTGAACTTCTGTGGACAGCCAGTTTCATTCAAAACAACAGTGACCTTACCCACATCTATGTAACCACTTTTTTCCACATGCTTTAGGACGTTTAATTCCACTAGCTCTGACAACCTTTGTGAATTAAAAACTATGGCCAGATGAAACGATAGTTTGTCCGCTTTCATTGAATGAAGCTTTTGAAACAAAAATTTAACATTCGCATTGTAATTATTATTCCTTCTTTTAATTACTGCAAAATTCAACCCCCCCCCCCGAGGACACGTGACGCTCTCCAATCTCAGTACATATGTATTAAAGATCGAAAGGCTAACGTCTTAGAAAATTCCTTTGCTCTTGGTATTGATTAATGCAGTCAAGTTTAGCAAAATGACTAATGTACCACCTTATCCGCCAATGGTTTACGTTTTTGGCTAGGGCATTTCTGAAAAATGTTTTATATTCAGGTCTTTCTGAGTTTGCTAGTAGACAAATTGTTTGCTGTGCAGACGAATAATAATATTATATCGGACAAATGTTGACTCAGTTTTTTGGGACCTGTCTACTTCCAAACAGGCAATTTACTTAACTTCTTAGAGGGACAGTATATATGAAGAACCAAAATGTGAGGAATTTTACTGTTTTTCACCTTCTCAAGTTGAAGAACCGGAACTGCGTTGTGTGAAATTTTCGAGACACGAGTTGATTTCACAAAGTACATCTGTTTGGAAATCTATCCCAAGGGTATGTTAAAGCCGTCACTGTAGGCTTGTAGGAACAACCACGATCAATGAAAACATTTTATGCAGATTTCTTCGTAAATACACCCACTTCCAACAAAACATCTCTCACACATGATGATGTCGTTATCCAAGAATCGTGTTTACCTTTGACTGTAAGGACGTGGATGGGTCAGAATCCATAAACTCCAAGTGGATAACCTATGAGAATTAACAATCGAATTTAGTATGTATGAAGCAGTATGACAGTATAGTTAGTTTACTTGAAACTTAACGGATTTTGTTTGTGGGAGATAATATCAGCACCAACCACGTCGAAAAGCTGGGCCAGGCTTTCGTCCAACGAGCCCTCATGTGGCGACTCAGATGGCTGCTCCTAACGATGGCTAATTCATTGTCATGTTTATAGGCGTGAAAAAATGTTACGGGGGTATTACGAGTCTGCACTGCCGGACCGGTCTCAGGCTTAAGATCAGCTAAGGAATACATGTCTGTTTATTACGCTAATGATAATTGGACACTTTGGTCCACCTGCCAATTGTGACCACCCTTATTGTGCACGCCCCCCCTCTGTTTTGTCAGGTGATGAACACACGATAGTGCAAGATGAAGCGTTTAAGAATAATTCGCGAAGCCCAATATTCAGGTGATATCGGACGCCATATAAGCATTGGAGAAACAACAAACAGCCACGGTTGTGGTGCGAATCAGTTGATGTTCTACCGGGTTATGCAGACTAGTCTGATGAAATATGCGTTGAGAAAGTGACCAGGTGACAGTCTGATGAGTCTGTCTGTGTGCCAGTGGCTAATCTTGTGCGAGTTGATAAAAATCGAGGACCGCGTCTGTGTTTATGTCCTACATTTGTATTGTGGTTGTTCCGCTTACTTTCTTCAGTGGAGGCCGGAGGCGCTAAAAGGAAGAGTAACGACAGACAATCCTGCGCCAGCAGAAACTGTCCAAAGATATGACGCCTTGGCAGTTTCATCCAACACAGAAAGCTCGATAGGAAGAACATAGTTTTCCTATAAAAGGAAATATAAGCGTGCGAAACTTGTGATATTAAATGTAAACGGGCACCGTAGCCTTCACGAGCAAAACACTGTAGAGACCGTGAAATTATCTCTTGCCCTAAGCGCTATTCTAGCAACCCAGTAACTAACAGATACTGATACTCACTGTACTGACAGCCTAATTTGCAAAGGCGCGATTCAGAAACGCGCCATTTGAAAGGATAAAGTGTCTGAAAATGGCTTGGTAAAAAATCAACACGCATAAATGTTAGCTAGCAAAGTATCACTCAACAGTTACCCATTTCCTGTTCACTACCCAACAGAATAGACACTTTATGTTATGAACGCTCGCCCAGTGAGACATTTTTTCCATGTATGCATAGTGACCTGAAGATTTTTGCGTAAAGTCTGAGTGATGTGCAAACGAATGCCCTCGGGTTTTCATTCGGCTATTGTTAAACCTTGCCCGTTTAGCTTTCAAAGAAGTCTCCGTTTCTGTCACCGCAAACACCGTCTGGAAGTCTCAAAGGATAGGAGTTTGTCCCTACCTTTAATGTGAATTCTAACCTTACTGTGGTCCTATGCAGCTGACGTTTTAGTACCATACTATTCAACAAATTTATTTTTCAACTTCTGCGTTTTGATTAATAGCGAAATTTTGTTTACCAATGTGAACAACTTCAAACAGGTGCCGCCCGAAATAATGACTTTTGAGACGGTAAAGCACTCGACTGCAGCGAAGCCGAGAAGCGGCATTGTTATCAAACCGGTTTTGATATCTGGAGCGAACACAGCTTCCTTTCTGTAAAAGCTTAAAAACTTGACTCCAGTAACCTCCCACGACTCATTGGTATCACTAGGGACAGTGTCCGCTGCACATAGAGTGGCCCCTCCAATGGAGAGCATTCAAGTGATCCGGCCAAAGTGATTCCTTCTAGAGAACAGGTTGCTACTGAAGGAAATTCTAATATTCTTGTGACAACCAACCAAACCGAAGGTCCGTAATGTATCTTCAAAGAAAAAAGTCATTTTTGCGTATGATTTGAAGTTTTGTACTGACTTAGGCCCGTCTGTTGTATGAGAAGTAAACATTGAATGCCGAAATATCTAATTATACGTGCGACAATAATCGTATTCGGGAAGTCAACCAAGGAATGGGCACATTCCACCCGGGAAAATTCATTTCATTAGACAAAATAAGTGGATTTTACTGGTGCACAAACTCTAGTTCTGACCTCTGTCTTGAACTGTGCGTTATTTCTCCTAATTCTGTTGATTGTGATTGATGCAGCTCAGCAGATCGACAATCATTCAAACAATAACAGGGAAATCATTGTCACTTCAAGCGGTGCGCTGTTTCCAGGACTGCAGTCTAAATGAGGTCCTTGTCTAACTGGACTTCAGTTGAAATGGTCGAAAGGCTCCGGTGCTATAAGGAATGTTCAGTTCTCTGAAAAATTTTGCAGGACCGGGATTGAGTGTCATCTTAATAATGGTGAAGCAGATTAGGAAGATTTGTGTTCAAGCAAACGGTCAATCTGGTGGCACTCAGGGGCACTCTGAAGCTTAGTTTCTGACTATCCAAGTTTGGATTTTGCAAACCACTTCCATCTGTTACAAAACCCATGTGGGTAGGCAACGGACGGTGCGTCGGCCTCTGGTTGCCTTGTGTCCACACAATGTATACTTCTAATTGCGGGAGAAAACACTATATTTTCCAGACACAATAAGCAATTCGATAAAGAAACTGAATTGCATAAAAGGAGCGCATATATATATATATATATATATATATATATATATA